TTGTAATTTTTGAGAAAATAAATTCTTTCTTTCCCAATAGTTGTAAGTTTGTTTGATATATATATATTTTGTTTTTAATCTTCTGAGAGATATTATTAGAATCAAAACATAGATTACAATAAACAAAAGCCAGAAGCATAAAACAAAGAATAACATCAACTCCTAAACACAAGAACTTAAAAGTGTTGTAACATAGCTTCACGAGCAATTCTATCATGCAACCAAACTAGATCACCAAGGACTAAACATAAATTAAATCGTCCATCCCGCGTAACACTCTTCGATATTTCTCGAGCAATCAATTTGCACCTACCGACTCAGCCTCAAACAAGCAAGAATCAGACCATACCCCAAGGCCGAAGCATATCAATCTGAGCAAGCATATCAAATTTGGTCAAGTTGTTTGATATATATATATTTTTTTTAAGAGCAAATTAATAACAAAAGGCCTTTCAGATTTCGAACGCAAAATAACTATTTTATTGGGCCTAAAATGTTAGGAGAATAGGCCCAATATAAGTCTTCCTCGCGATTTTCCAGGTGAGAGATATACGATTAACGTTTGTTCTGGAAGAACGGCCATTGAAGCGCCACGAAAATTCTCTCTCTCCTTTCTTCAAAGATCAAACAGAGAGAAGATTCCACCACTTTGCTTCAATGAAGCACCATCACAGGCGCAGATATATACAACCATCGTTGTTTATATACATATTTCAAGCGCATATCGATCTCAGGTGTGAGTGAAAGTGACTCCTGAAAAAAGCTTGGATTCGCTCGCTCATGGTGGATCATCACGAGGTGCTAGAAGACGAGAATTGAAACGCGATTTTAATAACGCTTCAATTGATTCCGATTTCTATGAAGAATCGTCAGCTCTCCGATTTCAGCGGCGCGTTTGAGTCGGTGATTTGGTTAATCCGAAGACGCGAGCGTTTCTTCTTAGTCTCTCTTCTTTTGCTGTGTAAATGCTAATATTCATCACTCTGATATAGTTGGAGAATCACTGAATCAGCCATTTGGGTTTCTTATATAGGGAATTTTCCATGACCAGATTTGTCGGCCTGTATTGACTTGTTTTGATGATCTTGTTTATACTCTGCTATTTGTGATTGATGTCAAGTGTTGAATATTGCTGCTCGTTTATCAATTTCTGTTGGTTGGATCCATCTTTAGTACCTGAAGTCTGTAAATGTATCAGTTTGAAGTTCTCATAGTTTCTAGGCTTGTAGCTGTGATTAGAATCAGACTGTTAGAGAGTTATAGCTACTGCACCTCGAGATGTACTTTTGGACTTAAGGGACCTGTAATGCCGTAAACCTAATTTATCCTACCAATTCAGATTAGCAATGTGTAGAAAGAAGAGATAGGAATCATAAGTTTGGAGTTGTAGGATTGTGTAGCAAGACTACTGACACTGAGTTGTTGTGATCTGCGCTTGGAACTTGTAGATTGATTACATATATGAGATCCAGCCGTTTGAAACATATGCAGAACCTTTGGAGGGGTTCTTGATTGAGTATGAGAAATAGAGAAACAGAGGTTAGCTGGTAGGGATAGATCTCATATATTTTCAAGTATCTGCGAGTCTTATAACACATTTCTAGCTGCTTCACTAATGTATATATATGGTAGAAAGAAATTCAACGTTAATCTCTCTTGTTTCATCATGGCAGTATTTTCTGTCATCTGGTTATAATCTGATAACCCTTTGTAAAATATTTCAGATATCATTCAAAGAACCGATGTAATCTGTCACGAAAGCAAAGGCACACCGAGGATGATCAGTTTAAACCAAAGGTATCGACATCATACCCTTATCGAACCAAACCAAACACACACTAAAATACTCATTCATGTCGTCCTCATATGTTTAGAACTAGTCCAAAGAGACTGACGACACATGAGATGGTAGATAAGTGTCTCAAATCTGATTCAGAGAAAGTAGATTGTATGTTTCCCTCATAAACCCATCTCTCAGGTGCAACCACCAACCACCTATATTTGTCGCCGTTGCATTGCGTTAGTCTTTGTTCTGACTTATATTATATGATCCTTTGGTCAATCTATGGTCCCTCATATTTATTGCTTAGTTAGTTCTCTTCCACCGTCCACATGTTAGTATGTTACCAATTTTTATTTTATTTTGCTTTTTTTTTCCTGTTCTCATACAAAATTGAAAGTTAAGTGAATAGATCCAACAAAATGTGAAAGACTTTCACATCCAAATCTAGCGTCCACAGTGGTGTAAAACGTTAATTTGTAACTTAGTGTTGTTTCTAATGTTTTAGGTTTAATCTCAAGGAGACCAGTATTGGTGTCGTGTAATTTCGGAGTCAAGAATCAACAACGTAAATGACGTTTTACTGTCAAACTAAGAACACGAC